CCAAAAAACACATGCAAACAGACATTAATTTAAATTTCCTCATACCTTTCTCATTTCAATCACTTCTATTAATCAATATATTCCTTTGTTATTATATATTTATACAACTATAATAATTCATTGATTCATTTTCTTTTCGGCTTAGTTTCTTTATTAATCTAGGGTCGCCACAGTAGAATGAACCGCCAACTTATCCAACACATGTTTTACGCAGCGGATGCCCTTCCAGCTGCAACAACTATAATAATATACAACTTTTTGAATTGATTAATATCTTGAGATTTTCCACTTTTTCTTGTTACCATACATACAACTGAAGGAAAAATAATCAGCCATTTATTAATAAATTATATATAGAAATATTTTCCAATTGATGTTAAACAGATTTTCACAGTATGTCCTATTATATATTTTCTTTCTTCTGTAGAAACTTTTTTATTTTAATTTGGCATAATTAAAAGCAGGGGTTTTTTACTTACATTTTTCAAAAAATATATTTTTAAAGTCAATATTATTAGACTTCTTTTCCCAATTTTCCTGTTGTCCAATGACTTTTCTAATTAACAACTTGCCTAGTTAACCTTGATTAACCTAGTTATGCCTTTATATTGCATATTAAGCTTAAAACTATTTTGCAAAATAACTACTAAAATAGTATGAACAGGCATCATGGCAAAGATTACATTAGAAATTAGCTGTTAAAACTATTCTGTTTAAAAATGTGTTCAAATAAAACTCATATTTGAGAAAGAATTAAAATTTCACAAGAGTGCTAATCATTTTGACTTAACTTCAGTTATATTGCGTTACACAACACACATTATTCCTCCACTATGTGAATACATTTAAAGAAAATTAATGTATTTTACTTCTCCCAGAATAATACAACTGCAAGATTATAATTGGTAGTTAGTGCGGGTCATTAAAATAAGTTAATGTTAAAAAACTAACACCTTTTAATGGCGATAAGTAACAAAAGGAGAATTACATAGCCCAACCTCTTCACAGCTTTCTGAAATAACAGGTGTGTCTGCTGAAAATGGCCCTTTCAAGTGTGTCCCGTAAGCCAGCCGAGACACCTCTACCACCAGACGTCTATTAAACCTCTCTCTCTCTCTCTCTTTGCTCACAGATACTGTTTACCCTGTACCTGGGTTCCCACCTTCTGCTTTCTGATGAGATTTTTTTTTCTAAATACCAATTCTAGGACAGATAAGTCATGCCCCCTGTGTATACACCAAACTAAATATGTGTAGTTCCTGAATTTGAAAAACGAAATGAGATGAATCGTGCTGTGGACTTCATTTACATTTAAATAAAAATAAACATGGCAGGGTATGGGATAAATACTAAATGAATGTAATCCGCGATTCCAAAATATAATTTACCGCAGTGTCAAAAAATATATATCACGACGATTTGGATTTCATTCCGTATAAATTGTGGCAATAATTCCAAAATAATTCGAAGACCCACAAAAAATTGATTCAGATAGTGCATTGATGATGGCGATTATTACACTGTAGTTCCTGCTGCTAAATTTGAAAATAAACGAATAAATAAATTAATAATAATCACCAAAACTTTGATCTATAAATGAGTTTTTTGATGTATGCCAATTTTTAAAAAATAAATCAAATCGATTGCATGTCTGAACACACACACACACACACACACTGGAGTCTGGGTGTGTTCAGAGTAGTGTGTGCTGCCCACAGTCTGCAGCTGATTAAAATGGCAGCCTGTGTATAAAGTCTGCCGTCCCACTGTCACACAAACCTTTCGCGAGCAGAAACAAACACTTTGACAAAATGGCAGAGAAGGCGCCCTGCCTTCCGCTGATTACCGATCGTAAAATAAAAACCACCGTAAAAGGCAGGTATTTGACCCACCAAAGGCAGCTGAGCACTTTACATAAAACTCCAAGTGTAACAGGGCTGTTTATTCCCAGCAAATTGGTGAGCGTTTATCGGCACAGCAGGAAGCTCTGTAAACACACAACTGCATCAAAAACAGGGGAAGAAATCATCTGATTTGAAATTCTTGCCCAACTGAAAGTGTTTTCCATTTTATGCGCTTGGTAACCGCAGCATATGGCCCTATATCCTGTATCACAGCGTCTCTAAAGTAACAGCCTTGCCTACAATGTGAATGGCACATCCAAGCTGAAGTGGTCTTCTTGTTTTAGTCTTCAAGTCCATTTTCTTCACTATTTTAATTTTTTATTTAAATTTTTTTTGTATTAAAATCTCTTAAAGTCAATTAGAATGCACAGTTCCAGTATAAATGCTACATGGAGATGTATTTGTTGTTCAGTAAGTCCGACTATTTGATTCGGCTGTGCAAACACTGATGTTCGGAGAACAATGGCTGTCAGTTGCCTTCTGTAAAGCACACACACGCAAAATATTGTGAATTATGGCTCTAATTAAAGCTGTTAAGCATTATGAGCAAAAGCTTTGGCTTGTTTAATTGTTGGTATTTTAATAAGTTGTAGTTTTATGTGGAGAAATGCTCGCATTTTGCGCATTTTATTGTCCGTAGTGTGTCAAATTGTCTCCACATGTATCTGCTATTTCCCATGCGCGATAATGAACCACAAATCATGTTTGCCAGATCACAAAATGTACACATATATGTTATATTTCTGAATGTTTTTCAATGAAAACAGCTCATTAGAACATGTTCGAGGACAAAGAATACCAAATGTCGCTAACAAAATTAAATTGTAATTAAATTAATGTATGGATGTACATTAAAAAGACTGATTTTTTAATATTTGCTTTCTTTCTTTTTTGAAGCAAAAATGCATTTGAGAGACATCATGTCGAAGAAATGAATCGTGAATAATCAGCCGTGCGACTAACTATCAGAATCATAAAGCTCCACACTTGTGAGCAGAATTTCTGTGTAGGTGTCATGGCATCCATTCATCTCTGCGTTACTGGAAATGTAGAAACCGGTCCTTTTTCCACTTTGAGTGAAAATACCTAAGCAAGTTCTCTGGTGGATCTCATAATCCTGCTCGTGTTTGGCTGTTTTCATTTCTCTGATGCAGGAAGGGGGCCAGAAAGAAACAGAGCCAAGGAAAATATGCCTTTGAAATGAAAAGGATGGGATAGTGTTTTCACACACAAACACAAAGACGAGGAGAAATGAACTACAAGCCCCGGTCCCCTCTCACCCCTCCTGTTCTCCGGGCCTGTGCTGAAGCTAATAGAGCACAGGGCTCAAATAGAGCTCAGGCCACTTTGAAATGCTAATGGAGCGGCTTCAAACGGAGTCCATTCACACTTATACAAATTCAAAACATTTCTTTCTTTCTTTCTTTTGGGTACGAGAATGTCTATTTAAAGCACAAATGGTGACATGCAAGAATCCAGACCAAAAACCACATGGCATATGGTAAAACTCCACATGTACATCTGAAGTTCTAATTCAGAGAAATGTTGCCTGCTTTAAATATACTGCCGCTTTATGAGTGTATTTTAAACTCTACTTTTATTTTTCCTAGCTGAATAATTGTAGAAGTTATAAATGTAACAACGGAAGGGGGGAAACACTCAGATTTAAAGAATAAAAGCGTTAACTTGAATCATTAACGAGTTTAAAATTATACAGAGTTTCCGAGTTTCAATATAAACGCCCTCTGTAGGTCCAAAACGCTCCGAATCAAGCATGCCAAATGTGCATTCAGGTGACTCGATATGTTTCACAGTCAGTTATTAGTGTGTCTCAAAGCATGCACTGCATTTCAAACAACACCGCGCTCTCGTATTGACTCTTAGGCTCTTATGCACCAAAGCAATGTTTACCCAAAAACACATGTGATTTGCTCACTGTTTTAGTAACATTTCAAATGATAGTGTCTAGGAACCTATATAAAGTCTTGCATATTTAATTACAACAGTAATGATGTTTAATCATCAGCATCACAAATAATTATAATAAACTGCATAATTCTTAATTATGTGATTACAGTGTGATATGAATACTAATGCAATGTTTGCCTGTTTCACTATGCCTTATCAAGCTGTTCAGTGTTTGGGCAAAGAAGTGCCACCGGCTGGATTTTGCTCATCTCTCCATTGGCACCAGGGGCCTGGGTGTGGATTAATTATAAATGTGGGGTTTAAGGATCTAATTTTACAGCGACTGCTCACAAGTGTCCGATGTTACATTTTGGAGAAAATCAGGTTCAGACTATTTAAACTGCACTTGGTTCTTTAAAGTCCCCTAGTTAGCACTCGATCACTGCTGTCTGTGCACCCTGAACCATTCGCTTCCCATTAATCATCCCGAGGAGTTAAAAACGACCAAAAAGAGCCTGAAATTGCTTTTAATTATAGACACAAGACCTCAATTTAACAACCCAAGTCAAGCTTTAGTGAGTTCAACAGTTGATGTAGGTCACCACACACTTGTTGTAGGAAGCAAAAGGCAATGACAATAAATTAAAGTGTGCAGACTTCACTGACACCTTTAAAGAATCTCCAAAGGACTGAAATATCTCTATGGGATTTATTTGAAGACCCCCACCATTAACACACTAATAGTTTCCATTCAAAGAGAGCAAAAAAAGGGAAAGGGTAAAAGACAAAGAGAGAAATGGCAGCCGACCAAATCAATCCACATCTGGTTGTGTTTTGATTAACCATTTCTCAATTAGCCATGGTCCCCCTTTCCATCATTTTAATTACTCTGAACAGAGTAGTTTTGTTCGTTTAGAGTCATCCAACTAGGATTCAACTCTTTCAAAGTTTTTTTTTATCATACTTTTTGGCTAAGATATAAAAGTTAAATGTGTTTTTAAAAACGCACTTCGGCTTCTAGCTGTGATTTATACTATTAAAGCACGCATGGACAGAAAAATTGATTCCTCTCTTTTTTTAGGCTCAAAAAGTTTGAGTAACCAACAAACTTGCTTATAACTTTGTTTAGGAATTTAAGGTTACTTAAGCGCATTGTTAGCCTATCATTAACAAAGAGATTCTTCTTACCTTGAGTGAGTGAGCGGGTAGTTGAAGAAAAATCAGGCGTAAAGTTAATTAATCAGTTGAGGCAATTACAAGAAGGTCTTTGATTTGGAGCAGCGCGTCTCCAACGCACAACGCACGCATGCTCCGCTCATCCGAGCCTTCTTTATCTGAGTGTGAGCGCTCACATTCCCGCAGAGCCGCGCTCGGTCCTGCGCTCCGCCGTGCCGGGATGAAAAGATGCGGGTACGGTGAGAGTCCGTCCTTCCGTCCGTCCTGCTGGAGGAGAGCAAGGGGACGCGGACCTGTTCGCAACGCAACTACTGCAAAAGAGCCAAAATAAAAAGAAGCCAAAAAAATAAACAAACAAATACAGTCCTCTTTATTTATTTCAGTCCTTTGAGCGTCTTCGGGTTTGTTGAGTCCCGTTCCAGCCGGAGAGAGAGCGGCCCGCGGCTGAGAGATTTCTCTCTGTGAGAGCTCAGCGGAGATGTGTGAGAACGGCTGCGCTTAAAACCTGGAACTGGATTCCTGGATTACACGGGTACGGATTCGACGAGAATAGGATCGCAGGGAGAGGGGGAAAAATATCTCAAGTAAAAGGCTGTTGTGGAAGACGATTACGCAGAGCTGAAGAGGAACGTAAAGCTGATTATTTGTTTTGTATATACAACTTTTGGCTATTTTCCATTGGATTTGCACTGCTACATGCCCCTCATTGGGGCACACTGAAGAAAGATTCCCTAATGCTGTGGGCAGGCCGGCCTGATCAGCCAATGACTGCACATGTTTTCTCACTGTAATTCTAGCTTGCATCAAAAAGAAAAACTGCAGATTTTTGTCTTTTTTCCTCAACTTGGCCTCAATCAAAAGACCGACTTGTATGCTGCAACTGGAGCAGTAGTCCACTCAACAACATGCCATTTTATTTACTTTTGTTTTATTCACTGACCATCCTCAACCCTTAAATGCAATGCAAATCCTAGAACTATTATAGATTGAGTTGAAAAGGCCATGCATGCACTCGGAACACACACCCCCTATGCATCCCCCCTACACCTGGCATTAATAAAGCGTCGGAGCGATGTTTCAGTCAAATCCAACAACTCTAAGGGCGCATTTCTCTGTTTCACTCTTACAGCAGGTGAAGCTCACAGTATAAGAGCACACACTTATATTTTCATATGCATAACTTTACATAGTAATAGATCCATTTTGAGGGACAAAAGAGAAAACAGATGTGGTAAAGGTCATTCTGATATATTTTTTTCTGATGTTTATGCATTAGTTTTGCAGAAGTAAAACCATATGTGTGTTGCATTCTTGCAGTCAAGGGAAAGCAATGGGCTTTAGCAAAATCTCATACACACAAATAGACACGCACACACAAATGCATCAGTTCTGTTACAAACCACTGATTTTATCTATTTAAAAATGCTGGGGTTGTTTTCTTAAAAAAAAAAAAAAAGGGTTCATCAAATGCATTTGCAATTAGCATTACATTTATTTAGGTGGAAAATATACAGAAAAAAACTCTTAAAATAGAGAGAATAAAGTTTGAATAAAGCTACAATTATTATTGTTGTTATTAATAATAATAATAATTATTATTATTATTGTTGTTATTAATAATAATAATTATTATTATTATTATTATTATTATGGTTGTTGTTGTTGTTGTTATTATTATTATTATTATTATTATTTATTTACTATCATTATTATTTTACTACAATGATTATTATTAATAATATCACTATTATAATTAATTAATTTATTTATTTTAATATTTTTATTATTATTTATTAATTTTTTTAAATAATTATTATTATTTTTACTACTACTATTATTATTATTTTACTATTATTATTATTTTTTACTATTATTATTATTTTTATTATTATTATGATTATTACTACGGTCACACTCATTTAGCTCAAGAAACTCAATTGTGTGGGATTAGGGATGTAGAATAAGATAACAATTTAAAAGTACTAATTTAAACAAAGCAAATATCTTAAACGTTTAAAAATAATAATAATAATAATATTATTAATAATAATAATAATAATAATAATTATTATTATTATTATTATTATTAATGTTATTATGGTCACACTTTATTTTATTTATTTGCTAATAAGAAACCATTAACTAAGATATTTAGCGCAAGAAACTATTAGTTGGGTAGGGTTAGGAATTATACTTTATGAGCACTAATAAAGCAAGTATCTTAAAATCTTAATTGTAAGTAATAAATAATAATTTATTATTATTATTATTATTATTATTATTATTATTATTATTATTATTATTATTATTATTACTCGAAAGCAACATATAAAAATCCATTTAATGTGTTTCTAATGCTCTTGTGGGTTTTTAAAGCTACAGAGTCTTTGTAATGAATCCGTGCTGCCAAGAACCTGTAATAGATATTTGTCATTTCACAGGAATACAAATTCATCTGAACTCTGGTGCATTTGTAATAGGATTGACTTAATGAAAATAACACTGGTTGATCTGTATTCATTTTAGTTGCTCTTTATGTTATGTGGGAGAGCAGATTGTAGCTTAAATAAGGATTAGTGCAGGTATTAGCTGTATAACACTCTTCTAATCATGATCATCAGCAAACGTTCGGCTTCCGTCTGCTTTCTTTGCCGTGTCACATCAGACCAGACCAACCCCCAAAACCCTCTGAAAATTCCTCTAAAATATCAACCAACAACCCTCCCTTCTCCCGTCCTCTGCTTGTAATGTTTTATTTACAGTGGTGTGAACGTGTATGTGCGTGTGTGTTTGTATTTTCTTTAAGGACATTTGTATGTACTTCTAATTTTTGTATAGGAAACAGATTTTACATCATCAGCCTGGTTTTATTGCAGTTATTATATGAGGGTTGTGAATGCAAATGTGTATGTCAGCCAGTGAATTCATTCATTTGACATTCTCAATGCCAGCAGGAAGAAACTATTCATGAAATTTCACGTCTCAAGATCACTCTCTGTTAAACATGGCCATTTATTTATGCATCATCGATTTATTTATGTGTTTGTTTATTAAAATAGGACAAAGCTGTCTAGTTTTGATTTGCCTGTAGAAATAATTTCAAGCAGCTTACATAATTGGGATGCATAATCCATTTGAAATGTATTTTAACTACAAATTCTCAAAAATAAATAAATAAATAAAAATAAAATCTGTCTCCTTTATAAAAATTAGAATCTAGTCTCAAATAATGCATAACATCAAAGAGATTTCTCAGTATAAACTATAAAATATCTCATCCAGTTCTTCAAATCAAATGGTCTAGACCAGGGATGCCCAAACCTTTCCTTATGACTGGCCAAACTTGATTGAGGGCTGTTGACCGAAGGTAAAAGTTTCTATGAGTAAAACTAATTTATTTTCTAATATTTAAAAATAACTTCAAAACATTGCTTTTATTTACATTAGCAAATGCAGTTTTTTTTAATTATAGTGAACTTATTACAGTAAAAATATAAACAGTATTATTAACAACACAATGAAAAATAATACAAAACAATAATTTTTTAAATTATTATAAAATAAAATAAAAACACAGTTCAATGCTTAATGCATTAAGCTGCAACTGCCTTTGACTTGACCTGCATGCTGATTTCTTGTGCATTGCTCTCTGCCTGTTGAATGACAGTATTTACATTTAAAAAAAAAAAAATCTGAATCAATTACAAAACATGTTACAAATATAAACAAAGAAAATGTCACATTCATTTTTAAAACATCGCTGTCATAGATAATCACCCATTTTCTGGATGGTGGGCCAATTCAAAGATTAGCATTGGCCAGCTTGGGCCCACTGGCCCTAATTTGGGCATCTCTGGTCTAGACTACAGACTGTACAATTGAAGGCAAAATTATTAGCCCTCATGTAAAATTATTTAAATAATTTATTTCAATAGTATTATTTTTAATATTTCCCATGTTATAATTAACAGAGCAAGGAAATTTTAACAGTTATTTCCTATAATATTCTTTAGTTCTGCAGTAAGTCTTATTCATTTAGTTTGGCTGGAATAAAATAAGGTCAATATTATTAGCCCCTTTAAAAATATTGATTTTCGATTTATACAGAATAAACCATTATTATCCAGTGACTTTTAACTAATTAACTTATTAACCCAGCTCCCATATAACTTGATTAATTTGGTAAAGCCTTTAAACTGCTCTTTAAGCTGAATATTAGTAAAATATTACATTCTGGCATCGTGGAAAATACCAAATAAATAACACCTCAGGACACCCCATTTAGAAAACGTATATGTATTAATTTATTATTACATTTATTTATTAACAATTTATTATTAATATTTATATGATCCATTTCTCAGTGAATATATTTAATATATTTTGCTGCATTTGAATATAACTAATTTACTAAACAGATATATTTATTAAAATAATATTTTAGTCACCAAACATAATAAACAAATAATAAACTACGAAATTTCAACAAGATTTAATTTATTTTTTTTCTTTTGATTTTCGATCTTTTAACAAATTTTTTGTTAATATTTTTCCCTAATGTGTAAATTTGGGCTTTTGGATTTTTGTAAGGTATATTGTTAGATTTTGCTCCAGGTTGGGTGTCAGTGCTGACTAATTTAATGTATATGCACAAATACTTAACTTCCTATAGAAAATATCAATTTAAATGGGAGATTTGTTAGGGGTGTAGTTGTATATGCTGAGCACTGTATCTTTATATATATTGTATTTGTGTTTATACATTAGATTAGTCGGTACTAAAGCCAAATCTGGAGCTTATTTACAAAAATAACTTACAATAACGGTCCAAAAACTATAATACACCCAAATTTATATGTTATAGAAAAATATTAAATACAAATTTTAAAAAAGGAAAGTTTTATAGATTGTAGTTTTTTTCTAATATTTTGCTTGAATTTTATTGTATTATCTTTCAATTTCTAAATATGTTTGTTGACTAAAATATTTTTTTTTAATAAATATATCTGTTTAATCAATCTGTTTTGTTTAAATGCACCAAAATAAAAAATACATGCCTATATTCAAATGCAAAATGGGGTATATTCTACTATATTCTACTATATATATATATATATAATTATTATTATTATTACTATTATTACATGTTCAGCTGCCCAAAAACAAACATGTAAAATACATAACAAACACCTAAAACTATCTTAAAAAAATTAAAAATGCCATAAACTAAAACCAACCCTCCTCGAAATACTTCTCGCTCTTCCAAATTTCTGTTTACTCAGGAGAGAACAAGGAGGAACAGGCCCAAGCCTCAAAGGAAATTCACATTCTACTTCCTTCATGACCACATAGCTTTCTGGATTACAGCAATGTCAAATAACTGACCTGTAAAGCAAATGACTTGTGCAAACAAATGCCACTCTCTCCCACATGTAACGCCAACACAGCCTTCAACAGTTTGTACGCATGCATCACTGTATTACGCAGTGATTTTGAATTCTCTTTTTCTTTCTCTCTCCGAAACACGATATCTGCTAAAACAAATATCTGTGAAACAAATCTAAGCAGTGCTGAATGGTTTAGCAACTGTTATTAAGGTCACTGTAATTTAAAGTCAGTGTAACGTCTGAACTTGGAGGCTCGATGCAAAGACATCCACAGCCAAGTGGAAACAGATGTGGCGTAAAAGCAG